GGCCCACCGGCCCGGAGGTTGGCCGGCCCACCAGGAATTGTCCTGGAACTCCAGATGGCCAGACCGCCCCTGCTATTAATTGACTTACAGTATCTGTCCTGTGACAAAATGTTGGTACTGAACATACCAACAAAATATTCACTGACAACATGTTTTTGTTTTCCCTACAATATGCTCTCTCTACAATATCTACTCTTAGTGAATAAAGCATGATGAAAATTGTTCTCACACTCATAGAACTTGGTTGAGAGTAGGGAAAGGGATATGATTACTTTATTAACGTCCAAGCGAAAGCACAACGTTTCCCAGAGCTTAACCAGTGTGCTTTTGTGGCCTAAGCCTAACCACTTACCCTGGGCTGCAATGTCACAGTCCTGCGCTTTGTCTCCCACTAATTTATATTTGACAAAACAAATTTGTAATATACTTTAAATGTAATTTCTTGTAGACTGGGTTATCTTTTTGTCCCAGTGCTACAGAGGTTGAAATTTCCCTAAAACACAGTTAGTGATCACAAAATCCAAATGATTTAATGGTATTTATAAATTGTAGTATAAATACACCTGCATGTGGAATATATGAAGAGAAAAAACATAGAAAAGAAAACAAGAATTTTAAAACTGAGTTTCCATGTTCTGCACCTGAGTCACCATTCTGCAACCCACTCAGATTAACGTCCAGGATGGTAATCTGATTTCAGTGCCAGTTAATGTGCTGAAGGTGGACGTCCTCTCCTCTCCCTCACCGATGACCATCTGCGGTCTGGGCCGGTTGCCAGAGCAGACTAGACAGAGGGAGGGCAGGTTGACTGCAGCCTGTCAACTAAACCTTCATGGTTCGAAAGTCAGAACAGATTCTAGCCTTTGAACAACCACATGCCACATATCATCTGTCTGCTGTACTTGTCAGAGCGAGGCGTTTACAGCACACGCTCAGAAACCATTAAAAATAAAGCATTGTGAATTGAGATTGTCTGCGGATCACTTGGAAAAAAAGTTTTCTGTTTTAGAATTTATAGCTGTGGAGTAGCTCAGGGCCTGGAAGGAAGTTTCGTTATCATCCTTTCCACAGACAGAAACTGATTGTGTATCCTGACAAAAGACTTTGACTTCTTTGTAGACATAACAATGGCTTTGATTTGATTTCCCCCTGGAGATTATCTTATCCTTCTGCCTCTGCTCTCCTTTATAATGGGGTGTAGTTTGTCTTCTCTTTAAGTGCCTCTAATTTTGCAGTGCCTTTGAATACAATCCGCCCTCTTTGTGGGGATGAGCTGTGTTTTGGGTGGAGAACAGATGAACCGAGACATTTGTTTTTTGTTGAGAGATCACCTGCGGCCTCGACGGGAGCTCTTTGAAGCTCGATTAGGAGCACTGACACAGCTAATTGACATGTGTATGTGTATTCATGTGACTCAGACTCAATTAGCTTCATAAGTCATAGCTAAATATCCCTTTTAAGTGTAATGATTGTCCGGTATGTTTTCTATGAAAATAAACAGTGCTATTCCTCTTTCTGTGCTGTGGGAAGCATTTTATTAACTGAATGCATTCTTGTTAAGTTGAACCTTCATTTTAATTTAATTGATTTTTTAAGTCGCTTTAAGATCTTTTCACACATGCTCGCTGTATATTCTGTATCTGCTTCCATAACTCCACTGACGTTTTTAATGCTTTTACTAACTGAAACTTTCAAATATCCAAAGATATGTTAAAAGGCTCAGTTCAACATTTTGGGAAATTTACTCATTTGTTGAATTTGTGGAAATGGATGGACAGCTTGCCTGGCTCTGTCCAAATGCAACAGAATACACCTACCAGCACTTCTACACTCATTTATTAACATCCATCTTATTTAATATTCTTCCAAAAACAGAAGCATAAAAACAACAAATTGTGCTTTTAAGGGGGGTTAACTCTTAGCTGTGCGTAGTGACTTCCTGGGGTCTTGTCATCACAGTGATGCTCCACTCAACCAGCGGAAACTCCAGGAACGCTAGCCGTATCCCCATGCCCCCAGTCTTTATGCTAAGCTAATCACCTACTAGCTCTGGCTCCATATTTAGCATACAGCTTATAGTGATATTGATCAAGTGAAAAAAATCTGTATTATCTGTTTATGAAAGCTGAAATGATTAGTTGATTAAAGCAGCTATTTTGCATTGCAGATATTCCAGCATCCTAATTGTTCTCATTTTGCTGCTTTTCTTGGGTGCATGTGATTAATCAGATTAAGTAAATTAATCTTTGGGTTTTGGAGAGTTGGTCAGCTTTGAAGATGCTATTTGACATTTTATATACTAAGATTCTTTGATTATTGTAAAAATGGTTGGCAGATGAATCGATAATGAAAGTAGTCAGTAGTTTATTCATTTCATCATACTTGTTTTTGGAAAAACAAGCCTAGTGTGAATGAGTGTTTGTTCCTTTTGATCTGTAGTCAGCTGTATTTGTTAGAAGTCACACACATACCTGGGGTCCTGTTTTACTCCCACAAGTCATTGTACCAAATCATGGTCGATGTGACTCCACTTCCCAGGTCTCCACAGTATTGTCCTTTCCTTATGTTCTGAATTCCTCACCTCTCCTCAGGGTCGGGGTCAGCAGCAGATGTTTCCTACAGTAGACATAGCACATTCCCCTTTCTTGTGGAAATCACACACCATGTTGTCTCAGGGTCAAACACACACTCTTCAGGGAGCTCATAAAACTGGAGAGGCCCAGCTCTGCCAGCGTGCTGCTGTCAGAGGGGATGCTCAGCTGTATTCTGTCATACTGATTTAGGACTATAATCAAATGTGCATGGACTCCCAATATTTGCGCTCTCATCATCAGAGGAGAGAATCGATCTGAGGCCTTGAAGTGCCAGCCTCTCTGATTGATGCACCGTGGAGATGAAACTGGTCAAATTACTAATGAGATTTGATTGAGATTCCCATAAGCAAACAGACTCCAGCTGTCAGACAGGATGGAGAATAAGAGTTTGTGAAACATTCGACCAGATACAAACTAGAATATGAATTCTCACCCCTTCATAAATCCCACTTTTTACTGTAGGCACGTTCTCAAGTGGTGGATGGGATGGTGCGAGTGAGTCAGCGTTGTCCTTCCACCCCTAATGGCCAGGAAATGTCTACGTTGGACAAACTAATTGGATTTCTTTAACAGGAAAGCATCCGTCCAGCTCCATTAGCCAGTGGTAAACAGCAACACACAGCAGGGGGAGAGGCAGGTGGCAGAGAAAACAAGGGGGCGGTGGGGAGGGGATACAAGGGAGGGAGTTTGAGAGGTGGACAGAGGGAGGAAGAGTCAGAGAGGTGAGGAAGAGAAGGAGGAGGCATGCTGATTGTTGATGCAGGTCAAGAAACAGTCGGGTTTAGTTTGACAGGAATTTTTGTTTATTTAGTTTAAGGTAAATGTTTGTTATCCGTGCAGATGATGATGGAATGAAATACCAGGAGTGTGTCTGGGTAATAAGCTCATCAGCAGGGAGCCCTGGTTTTACGGTAATTCACTTTCCTGCAAGACATCTGATTATTTTTCCCGGATGAAGTGTCTTTCAATACCAGATATAGTATGATAGTGTCCTGATTCTGTCAAGCTTTTAAATCTTAACAAAAGCCTCACAATCATCCCATTTTTGTCAACCAATGAGTTGTAAAACATTAACTTTTTTGTTTTATTTTTTAATAAGTCTTCTTGCTTTAACTCAAGGCCCACTTGCTAGCTTTTTACAGAGCTGTCTTTAGTAGAAGGAGCGGCCAAGTATTTGAAATTGGTCACATCATAACTGCTATTGTGAAGAAGATCCATTCAATTAAATCAATTAAGCAGAGGATTTGCAGAGGAATACAATGAGATGCAGTAGAAATCCCCGGAAAAATGTAGTGAGTGGATCTTGACTGAGATTTTATTTTGTGTCAAAGTACTGTTTCCAAGGTCAACAATTAACTTTCACGCTACACAAAAATTATGTTTTTATTATAAAACAATATACAGTGGTGTATGTTTATGGAATATGAGACTAAATGCACTGTGCTTCTTCTGAGCAGCACTTGACATAAACTCTGATATTTCCTGCCATCACTTCTTTCTCCACCACGAGAAAAGCTACATTCTCCAACACAAAGAACAGACACTCTGGAAACGCTCAATCAAACCTGGCAGCCTCGTTACCTCCAGGCTACAGCTCTCGTTGACATCTCATACATCTACTGAAACACTGCGATGTAAAGCGTAATTTGGGGGTCCTCTTATAGATTAGTGGGATGCTCCCTGGAAGGGGAAAAACCACTTGTTCCTCAAAGGCCGATCACGAAGGAACAGTGGGGCTTCTATGCCGCCTGTAAATTGAGCCTTTCTTCCTGTGAGAGGGTGACATGGTGGAATGCAGCACATTAATGTGGACATGGGTGGGCTTCTCATTCCTGTCATAGCATTTCTCTTTTCCCTTTGACCCACCATGAGTTTCTTCTCTCTTTTTTGGCCTCCATTCCTCCTCTGAGTTTGTGTCAACAGGGTGTGTGTCTTCAGCATAATTTAAATGCCATATTTCCATCACATCTCCCACATCGTTTTCATTCATTTGATTGGCACCCTTTTAAGTGGGTCATTTCATTGGAGTTTGTAAATATGGGTGGAAACTTACAGTATTGACAGTTGCCAGCTCAGCTGTCGATCAAACGCATAGCCCGCCCACTCAGAGGCTTGAAGGCTAAAAGATTTATTTTATCAAGTCTTTCATCAAAGATCCTTGATTGAAAAATATTAAGATTACATTTAAAACTCACTTTGACATAATTTTTGACTGCAAAAAGGAAAAACTTTATCGCAGTTGAAAATAAATATCCTTATATTATAAATAAATATATAAGTGACATCTACTCAGAATAAGAAAAAGGAAAAACAAAGGAGGAAAATTGCGCAACGGTTCACTTTTTTGGCTGATAGTGACTAAAACCAGATATATTCAACAACAACCATATTCTCCCTCTTTTTCAGCGTGGGCTGCTGTGGAGGTGAACATGGAGGACAGAGTGGAGGTGATCAGGGGCACCACAGCTCAGATCGCCTGCATGTTCACATCGGTTGACGGCGTAGGTGGCATGATCATACAGTGGTTCTATGTGAGTTTCATCAAGCCTGATGCACACAGACACAAAGTGGTATGATGTGTCTATGCATTTCATAATTCATGTGTTTGACCTTTTAGATGACACGATCAGGCGAAAGGCAAAGAATCTACTATCAGGACGCCACCAGGAAGGAAGTAGAACGAGGCATACCGTTCACAGAACGGATCAGTGTGAATGGTACCGTAGCCACTGGAGAGGTGGTGTTGATTATCAGCGATGTGCAGCTGGAAGACGAACTGGAATATGTCTGTTTGGTCAAAACTCTAACAGATGGAGCTGGGGAGGGACGTACAAAGCTGAAGGTGTTCGGTAAGATTCAATCTGAGGTTGGCACTGAGTGCTAATATAACCAGATTTAAAATAAACCTTTTCAACTCCTTCAACCTCTTCATACTCATTCATAACTTCAATGAAAAACCATATTTAGACATTTTACCAGTCTCCATCCTTTGTACTTTATCATAGTAGTTCAGTTTTTTCATACCTTACTTAGTTTTTAATTAATCTTAGTTTAATTATGCACATTTCAGATTTGTTAAAAAAACACCTTTAGCTCAACTCTTCTAAAAAATAAATATGAAAAATCCTCAAACTCCTTTTACTTCCACAATTTCCACATTTCATGCATAATTTATGCATCACATCATTCACAAACTCATCCTCTCTCACACAATGTCAAATTGTGTGACTTACTGTTTTTGAATTCTGGCCTTCAAAGCAACAGGATAACCACTCAACTGTCTTAACTTAACTTACAAATTAAACAGCATTTACTAGTGCTTTCCTTGCTTAAACGTTAAACAACACGTAACAGCTTTTCACCCATTACATGTTAACACTTGAACTTATAACCCTAATTACTTATTTTTCAACTTCGACTACTTTCTTACACTTCACCTGCTTACAGTGTACGCTCTTGAACTGCACATCAACAGACATATAACTTCTTCCTCTTTACTAAGAGCACAACTGCTTCCAGTGACTTTTTCAGCACTTTCACTTCAACTGAAACTTCAGCTTAATACAGCGATTACCTTTCAACTGACACCTCAAGTGCTTTCAATTCTTACAGTAATACTTCAAATGCTTTGAAAGCTTCAAATTAAAGCATTTTAAATTGTTTGCATTTTTACATATTCAACATGCTAAGACATTGAAACAGTTTCAAACAGTTTCAAATTGCAAATTATCAGCTAGAACAAATATGTTTTCTTTAGAGCATTTTGTGTTTTCTAGTTCTTGATTCAGTTCTTCATTCCTGTGCAGAAATACCAAACATTCCTACCATTGAGCGTGAGCCAAGGGGGATCTCAGTCCATGAAGACAGCCCATCCAAGGTAAACAAGCTTTGCATCATAAGCATCAGTGTATTAAACTGATGAAATGACAATTTAAGTCTTTCAATTTGGTCTTTCCTCATTCTCTCTCCTCTCCTATAGATTGGAACCTGTGAGGTCAAAAATGGCTTCCCTAAGCCGAACATCACTTGGTACAGAAACAACACACCGCTAAACGCAGCTCAGGATGGTGAGGCGGATCAACATTTTTACACTGCTTTAATTGTGCTTAATTCGGTTTAATGTCTTTTTTCTCAATTCCACTCCCTTTCCTTGTCTTGAGTGTTTGCAAATGTTTTATGTCTTCCAGGGGTGATAGTAGAGCCCAGCATCACTACTGAATCCAGCGGTCTGTTCTCATTTAAGAGTGAGCTGAGCATAAAGGTAGTGAAGGAGGACAAAGATGATCTCTTCTACTGTGAGGTCACCTACTTTGTTCCTGGAGGAATCAAGATGACTGAGACCTCACGTATTAACATCACTGTATACTGTGAGTTTCACACATAGTCCAACACAAGTATCATGATGACCACATAACAAGTTTGTTATTTGTTAGTATGAAACACTATTATCACACCAGAATGTGGACAATTAAACAAGCTATGTGGACACCAGAATATTACGTCGCCACAGGAAAACTGCTGCCACAAAGTTAGAGAAGGGAATTCCCATGTTAACAGTTTGCCAGCATTCCCGTCATGTGACCGCTCAAGACAGGTTTATGATTACAGAGTTGGTTTTGTGAGGGAATAAAATACTATGCATTGACAAAATTAAATCCATTTAATTTAGGTTCAATTAATTAACATTAAATAACATTAGGCACTGTTTGTTTTTCAGGTTTCCATATTATTGAGCTCTAATTTGTGTGTATATCAGAGATTCCAGAAAGGTCAGGCTTTGCCAGTTGCCAGTAAATGTATTTGTCATATTAGAACAGGATAAAATTAGATGCAGTTTGTAGTTATGCTACAAAGCAAACTATATATACAAAAATTATAAAGTGATATACAGAAATAAACTATTTGCATGGTGCAGTGCTGAGGATAAATTGCTATAAGCTATCATTATCTATGACTACTATAAATTAAATAGGTCTAGCGTGGTGCTTATTGACGGCTGTTGACCAACCAGAGCTTTGTAGGCGGGATTTACAATGTCAATGTCATCCCAAAACATCAGGTGAAACACTATTTCAAAATAGACTGAAAATGATGTTGGCCTTGGCCTTGTGGTGTTGGCCCTATTAGACTTGGAGTTGCCTCTTGTCACCTCTCTATAACTCAGAGTTAGTCAAGTGTATGATCTGAATTCCTCCCCCTGTTTCAGACCCCTCCACAGCTGTGAATGTTTGGGTGGACTCACCAAAGGGCAAAATCAAAGAAGGGGACACAATTGTGCTTCGATGCATTGGCAACGGGAATGACGCATCCTCACTGTTGACAATCACGCACGTAAAAAAACTTTAAGGCCTTCTCTCCCATGTTGAGTCAAAAGTTAAATGTTTATGTATTGATGAGATTTCTTTGGCTTTTTGTAGGGTGATGTCTCTTGGGACAGTGATGAGGTTGTCCTGCAAAATGTGACCCGTCTACACAGTGGAGTTTATCATTGTACCTCTATGAATATAGAAACGGTCACCTTTGAGGAGATCTCGGGAAATACTACTGTGTTTGTCAACTGTAAGGAATTTGCACAATTCGTGACAATGGCAACAAATACATTTTACCAGCAGTACCTGGTTTAAAAGTTTTTATCTCTCCCTGCTGTGTGTAGATCTTGATCCTGCTGTGGTGATGCCCAAAGACCCTATTGTGGTGGCCCAAGGAGAGGAGCTGAAAGCCACCTGCAACGCCCTCTCTTCTCTCCAGACACACACAGTCTGGTTTAAGGTCACGTAGACACATACAGTACAATGCAATTACACAATCAGCAACAAGATTTTGGCTGAAAATGAATGAACAAACATATAGAAAACCAGTCACCCTTCTGTTCCTGTGTGAAAAATTCAACAGGGAGTATAAAGTCATAAAGTTGTGTTTGTGTACTGAACTTTTAGAACGGAGAGAAGGTTTCACAGGGCAACAGTTTGATCCTGAAAGATGCTACGTTTGACACAGCTGGGACGTATGTGTGTGTGGTCACAGTTCCTGAGATTGAGGGAATGGAAACCAACGGGAAACTTCAAGTTAATGTCCAGGGTAAATCTTATCACAGATACTGTATACTGAATATAACTTTGCTTTCTTGGCAATAATGAATCTATTATTGTGTAAGAAATATAATATATGTATAATGTAATGTTAACAAATAATTTTAAAGGAAAATCATAGTGTATAATGTACATTAGCTACAGGTTCGGTTAGTAGTTATAGTAGTAGAACTTTTCAAGCTTATTAGTTCTTGCTGCTCTCTCTGCAGGGCCACCACAGATCATTAAGCCAGAGTCCACAGAGATGGAGGAGAGTTATGGGACGACCGTCCAGCTGATCTGCCATGTCAGAGGTTTCCCTGCTCCTAGCACTAACTGGGACACTTCTGGTGGAAAGGTACAGTAGAGGGAAGCATCCCATTCTTGGATTAGCTACATCAGCAACTGATATGCACAGTTTTTCCTTAATCTCTTTAATCGTGAAGACTTCTACTGTCGGGTCCATCACGACAAACTTGTGTCATTCAGTATATGATTCCAATGTAACAGTTCAGGAAAAAAAGTCTTATTTAACTTAAAAGCCACTTAATGGGAAGTTTAAGTGGAATATTAGGAAAATCTGATTCAAATGATCGTTTCATTTCACTTTCCTTTTATTCTACCTATGATTAAATTAGGAGCAGGTGGCTGGATATTGTAAAGTAATTTAACTGGGACACTTATTCAAGGTAAAGATTTTTAGCAATGGGTCGATGACAATGTTGGTTGGCCGGTTGGTCAACCACTTTGGTCCAGAATGAAATATCACAGCTATTTGATGGATTGCTATAACATTTTGCACAGATGTACATCACACAGAGAGGACGTATCCTAATTACTGGAGATCCCCTGACTTTTCATGTAGCACTACCAACAGGTCAAAATTCCCACTTATCAACTTCATTGATTGGCACAAAATGTTGTACTGACATTAATTTTCCCTACACAAGTTGCCGAGATGATCTTCATATTACAAAGTCAGAAGAACGACCTTGCAATGCACGTGAATGCAGCATACAACTTTCTGGAACTCGGATATTCCGACTTTACGGTTAAAATGGAACGCACTAATTTTGTAACATTTTGTGTTTCTGCCACTAAAGGTCAGTTTAGATCAATTTCGGACAGATGATGCACCTCTGCTTCAGCCTATGACAGGATGTGTCAGAGTGGCAATCAACTCTTCAAATCTGAACTATGCCGAAGAAAGGGAAACTTTTCTCTGTCTTTATCTGTTCGTTTTTGTGCCAGGTCCTCAACACCGAAATCCAAGCACTGGGCGAGAAAGGTATTAAGAATACGGCCTTTGTCGAGGTCACCTCTGACATCACTGCTCTCTGCAAGGCCTCCAACGCATACGGCACTGACGCAATGACCTTGAACATCAAAGCCAGTGAGTTCCTCCTGCTGCTGCATGCATTTCCTGTCTCTGCTCTTTGTGTTTATGTGTGTATGTCTCTTTCCTCCTCGCTCCTCCCCCTTTCCATCTGTTCCTCCCCTTTTTGTTTGTATTACTTTTTTGTGTTTTTCAATTTTTTTCCAGAGACAGCATTTTAATGATAATAATATAATACTAATAATGTTTAATTATTGAGCACTTTTCCAAACAATGTTACAAAGTGCTTTCACAAGTGCAAAGACAATGACCCATATAAAAGAGATACAAGATACACAATAAAAGCAAGGAAACACCTAAGAAATTAAAATACAGTCAGGAAGAAGTCCCCTTTAGTTTTCAGTCAAGACTTTGGAACAGACAAAAAACCTCTGCCTGAGGATCTCAAGGTACGTGCTGGGGCGTATGGGACTAAAATGTCAGAGATATAACAGAGAAAGAGGCCATGAAGAGCTTTAAAAGTAATCAATACAATTTTAAAGTCTATTCTAAAACATACTGTGGCAGTAAGGAAGAGTTCTGTTAAGTGGCCGGTGGTGTGTCCTGATGTGCTGCATGAATGATTAGTCATTCACGAATGTCAAGGTGCATGCTGTATGTGAGCAGCTAACATTCATGAGCCCAGTTTTTTTTTGTTAAAAAGAGACTCTTTTCCAGAAGATATTTAAATTGTCATTGAAACACACACTGTGAGACGTGAGACAAGGCCGCATAGCGGTTGGAGAGGCCTGTATGCAGAGGTGAGGCAGTGCTCTTCGAGCCTCTCTTGGGAACCATGGACCATCACTTCGGCCCAGGTAGATTGGTGCTTCGGTGTCGAGCAGGAGGAAAGCCATGGAAGGGTCCCACAGCACTGTGTTCTGGATGGTGGCTTTAGTGCTGAGAGAGGCAATCTGTTTGGTCTGTACCGCGGTAAGACTGGTATCTATAAGGTACAAACCGAAATGGTACAAATAAGCACCCTATACCAAGGGTACAACCACTGTACCCTTCAGGTTAAAGCCCCAGTTACAAGCCACTGAACCCCTAGAGGTACAATTATGTGCTTTAATGTGTTGAGTGTTGTGATCAGTAGGGCTTAACATCCATGCCTAATGACTACAGTCCTTTACCCACATTATAACTGAACTTGAATAAACAAATGTTTGAATAAAACATGTCACGTAAAAGCGTGGATTACAACTGGATAAAAGTCAGGTTTAAAATCGAGCCTCCGACAGGTGGATACAGACACTAACGCATGCGATACAGACCATGATGACTTTTAATGCCATCACATAGACTTCTCACAACGTATTTTAAACTACACAATACAAAACACTGAAGTAAGAAAATATGAAGCCATTTTCATCAACCCTATCAAATACTAATTACAAAATACTATGTATCACCCATTTTTCCCATTTAGCAACAGAGACATTTTCTTTCAGTCTAAGTTAGCAGGTCATTTTTTCCATGCTATAAATCTCTCTTACAATTCCCAATCATTGTTTTATGGTGGGGGGTTCCGTCCCGTACCAATTTTCTGTTATTGCCTTCTTCGTTGCTATCAGTGATATTTTGACTATACAGGTGCTGGTCATATAATTAGAATATCATCAAAAAGTTGATTTATTTCAGTAATTCCATTCAAAAAGTGAAACTTGGATATTATATTCATTCGTTACAGACAGACTGATATATTTCAAATGTTTATTTCATTTAATTATGATGATTAAAACTAACAACTAATGAAAATCCCAAATTTAGTATCTCTGAAAATTAGAATATTACTTAAGACCGATACAAAAAAAGGATTTTTAGAAATGTTGGCCAACTGAAAAGTATGAACATGAAAAGTATGAGCATGTACAGCACTCAATACTTAGTCGGGGCCCCTTTTGCCTGAATTACTGCAGCAATGCGGCGTGGCATGGAGTCGATCAGTCTGTGGCACTGTTCAGGTGTTGAGAGCCCAGGTTGCTCTGATAGTGGCCTTCAGCTCTTCTGCATTGTTGGGTCTGGCGTATCGCTTCTTCCTCTTCACAATACCCCATAGATTTTCTATAGGGTTAAGGTCAGGCGAGTTTGCTGGCCAATTAAGAACAGGGATACCATGGTCCTTAAACCATGTACTGGTAGCTTTGGCACTGTGTGCAGGTGCCAAGTCCTGTTGGAAAATTAAATCTGCATCTCCATAAAGTTGGTCAGCAGCAGGAAGCATGAAGTGCTCTAAAACTTCCTGGTAGACGGCTGTGTTGATCTTGGACCTCAGAAAACACAGTGGACCAACACCAGCAGATGACATGGCACCCCAAAACCATCACTGACTGTGGAAACTTTACACTGGACTTCAAGCAATGTGGATTCTGTGCCTCTCCTCTCTTCCTCCAGACTCTGGGACCTTGATTTCCAAATCATCATCAGAGAACATAACTTTGGACCACTCAGTAGCAGTCCAGTCCTTTTTGTCTTTAGCCCAGGAATGCGACAGCTGAAACTCATGTCTTGCATACGTCTGTGCGTGGTGGTTCTTGAAGCACTGACTCCAGCTGCAGTCCACTCTTTGTGAATCTCCCCCACATTTTTGAATGGGTTTTGTTTCACAATCCTCTCCAGGGTGCGGTTATCCCTATTGCTTGTACACTTTTTTTCTACCACATCTTTTCCTTCCCTTCACCTCTCTATTAATGTGCTTGGACACAGAGCTCTGTGAACAGCCAGCCTCTTTAGCAATGACCTTTTGTGTCTTGCCCTCCTTGTGCATGGTTGTCTTTTGGACAGCTGTCAAGTCAGCAGTCTTCCCCATGATTGTGTAGCCTACAGAACTAGACTGAGAGACCATTTAAAGGCCTTTGCAGGTGTTTTGAGTTAATTAGCTGATTAGAGTGTGGCACCAGGTGTCTTCAATATTGAACCTTTTCACAATATTCTAATTTTCTGAGATACTGAGATTTTGGGGTTTTCATTAGTTGTCAGTTATAATCATCAAAATTAAAAGGAATGAACACTTGAAATATATCAGTCTGTGTGGAATGAATGTCTTCAGTAGTGTGCACACTGCAGTAATCCGCTTATCTCCCAGTTTTTATAAGTCAGGTCAGACAAACTTGGTTTAAATGTAGCAAACCAGCTCACTTCTTTTTCTAGTTTATACCTTTTAAATGAAATCAGTCCAGATATTCAGCGAATGTGTGGTTATTGGATCTATTCCATCTTATAGTGTTTTTATTAATGTAATGTTAACAGCTAGGGATTCAGTCTGGGTGTTAACCACCCTCTTCCCAATCTCCTTCCACACGTTATATTATATTTCTTGTCACACCACTTAATTAGTGGCCCGAGTTGTGCTACCGGATAATGGTCTTCTAGCTTTGGGAGTGCCATCCCCTCTCCTCTTCAGCCAGTTGTAGTGTGCAATATTTTATTCTTGTTTTTTTACTGTTTCAAATGAACCTGGAGATAATCTCGTCCCAGGTTTTAAACCTTTCTATGGGGATCTTAACAGGGAGGGACTGAAAAACATACAGCCTAGGGAATATTTTCATACCTTCAGTTGTTGAGCTTAAGTCTAATGTCAAGGTAGACTTTGACATTGGAATTAGACCCAGATATTTTATGTTTTTTGAGTTCATTTCCACTGGTAAGTTTTCACAATTTCTTGGGAAGGGATATAATTTAAAGGTCACAAAATCTGTGTTTTGTTGAGATTTCTTTTGTATCTTGAATTATCTCTATATATTTGAGGTTCATCAGGTGGATAAGGTTTGGGACTGCCGCAAACAAACTGATCAGATTTTTTTCCTGTCCTTTAATGTGAATATATATATAGCCTGTGCTAAAGGCTCAATATATAGAGCAAAAAGGAGGGAGGACAGGCTGGTTGGACGTATATATCTTAAAGTCCACATCGAGAATAGAGATGGATTGCTATAGTAGTCTGTGTCTTTTCCCTCTTTTGGTAAGTACAGAAATGATTGCCTCATTCCATGAGAGTGGCAGTCTACCCTCCTTAAGACTACACTTTCAGGTGATTTATCTGCCTTAAGTCTGGATATGGCCTTACATACTTCGAATGCTTATAGGGGCTGTAAGAATATTGTTTTGCTTTTCTCCAGTAGGTGGTAAATCAAGGGAGTTAAGGAACTGTTGTATCATTCCTTAGTTGGTCTTGAGCTAGGGTCTCTGATGTTATGTATCTTGTTAATGGGCTTTTTTGTATTTTGAATGTCCTCCCTTCTATGCCTCCACCTGTTTTCAGTTATTGACACCACCACACCAGCCTTCAGCACTAGTACTACCACTACCATTTCCTCTTCCACAGGTAAGACCACAGTCATCTACCTCGCCACCACTCGTCACGAAAATTTTTAGAAAATTAATAGATCAATGGCAGTCCCATGAAAAGGACTTGACAGAGAATTAGAGTGATTCTTTACTTGTCAAGTAAAAGTTATTATCTGCATGTTCAGGTGGTTTCAGACTTCCTTTCATTCACGGTCTGGTTGTGCCATTTTTCTGTGAGTCAGACAGAAAGAATGAGAGCAAGAAAGGAAAACTAGAAGCACCTCAAGGCTGCAGCAATTACCAGTCTGGCATGAGGTGTCTTACTGACTAATTTGTTGGCACAGCTCTTATTTAATTGTTATTTATTATGTAATTAAACTTTATTTACTTATATGTGGTATTTTAATGAGTTTTACAAATTTTGTGAAAATAAAAACCTGAGGTGGTTTTCTATTCCAGAAAGGTAATCAATTAAATGAGGTTTACCTTCTGCATACAGCAGTGTTTTTAAGGAGTGAGTGTTGCGTCCCTGTTCGCATCTGGTGTACAGATAGACACATAGTACACTACAAACGCACACATGCATCAGTGTGACTCTAGAAAGCAGCTGATGCTTTAAATGCACTCAGAGCGAGTCTCCTGACTCCCATTACGGGTACTGCCTTGTGCTTTCTCTCTCATCCTGCCTCCCTGCTCACTTGTACGTCATGCCAGGAAATTTCCAGCCCCTCAGAGGAAAACTGTTCTGGGTTGTTGTTTCTGGCAAAGTGCTGGGTAAATTAGATTAAACAGGGACACGACTGTTGTGTGCTACCGATCTCAGTTGGACTATCAGGGTAGATGTTTAGCTTCAAATCATAGATAAGATCTTTACAAATTAAACATGTACTGTATTCAGTTCAGGCCTCTGCTGCAGGTTTCAACTGCCTGTATGTGTTTGTGGGTGTGTCAGGCCGACTAATATTGAGTTATTTAATACATCCAGCCACCCCTAATAATTCTGCTCATGTGGTTTTTCTCAAAGGAAAAGCAGCTATCCCACCAAAGAAAATCAAAAAAGGTTTGTGTGTTACGCTGCTGAAGACTCTCTCTCACCTCTCTACCTCAAAGGCAAAAAGCTTCCTTTCATTTCTCCTCCACAGCATCGCCCTCTCTCACCTACCAGCATTCATCACGCCCCCCCTTTCTTCTCTCCTGATGAACAAACCATCATTGAACTGTTAATTTTCACCTTCTTCTGTGCATGTTGTCATGCTGTTGTATGAGCACACTGCTCCTGCTAAACTCCTGATTTAATTTGCGCCTTCTTTTCTTTAGGTTGCCAGGTTTAGCCTGAATCATCACCTGAATGAAGCTAGTGCTGCACTGTCTTTAGTCGCACAGTAAAACTCTATCTGCTGTACCTACACACTGGATTGCTGCACAGCCTGCCTGATGCCAGCCTGTATCTGACTATTACTGCCATTTGCCGTCATCTCATTCATAATCCTATTAAAATGGCTAACTCTGTGGTTGTTCTTGTGCTTCTTCCCCACCAGAGGGCAGTGGTGTTATCATTGCGGTCCTCATCATCTGCATCCTGCTGCTGGCCATCTTGGGGAGTGTGCTCTACTTCCTCTACAAAAAGGGCAAGATCTGTGGCCGATCCGGCAAGCAAGACCTGTAAGTAGTGTATGGTGTTGGAGGGTAAAGATCTGATGTCTTAATCCCTTTAGACCCAGAATCAGTTGAATCAGATATCATAAAAATGTACTTCATCCTCCTAGTAACTAAATAGACTCATTAGCTTTTGGTGACAGAATGAAATGATTTGAAAGAAGGCCAGTTAAAGAGTGGTGGAGTAAGACCAATGTTCACTTTTTAAATTTACATATATACAAACTTCACTTTCTTGAAAATTATTTGTCCATTGTAATCAGAACTGGAGATGATTTATAAAGATTTGTGTGGTCAATTCAATCAGAAAACATGTTTTTATCTTTCTTCCAACAAATAGTCACCTTAGATGATATCAAGTTAATATAAGTATTTCCCTTGTAGAGTACACAGCTACACAGGCGACTGGTAATTATCATAGGCTGTTAATCACCGTACATACTTCATTTGAGACGTCTGTGAAACATGTGAATGTTATGTAAATGTTAGGTGTCAACTGAGATGTTCGATGTGACAGCAGACAACTGGGCAACATTTATGTTCTGTTGGTTTCAAGAAAGTCTTCTTTGCAGATATCAGAACTAAAATAAAAATACACAACAACACAACTACTTAAAAATAAGAATTTAATCATCAATCACAACATAATCACAAGCAACACTGTAGTGTGGATATCAAACACACATGGCTAAAGCTGCTGCAATCAGTATTTTTATATTAACAGTGGTGTTATGTGAAAAGCACTGCTCGTAGTTGTGACCATGTAATTATAATAACATAAATATAATGTTGTGCATACTGTACAGCAAGATACTATACAGTACAGACTCACTGCAGACTCACCGTTTGGCCGATTTTAAAACTCTCTTGTAACACTTGATATCGGCCATCTAGAGAATGTCTGTCGATTTTGGTAGCATTTGAACTAAGAATTGTGGAGATATAGATGTTAATTGTTTTGAAGATTGAGAATGAGAAATGTCTAGAAATTTACATTTCTTGTAATAAGCCACACCCACTTTGAGCAATCATTATCAGATGAGAACAAAAACAATAGGGCTCCAGCAGCTTCACTGCTTGGATCCCTAAATATCGCCAACATAGTGGAGCATTTTGCAGCTAAAGAGCCAGATATTTCCCTCAGGAGGGAGTGGAGACCAAGTATAGAGCTAAAAGGAGAGCAAATGTTGAACTTAAATTGGATCGTGTCTGCTGAATCACAAATCATTTCCTCTGCCCCCACATGGCCAAAAAGTCAATCAGAACAAACAATTAATGAATCATCAGGGTTATGTTTGGAAAGAAGAACAGTCTGTTGCAATATGTATGCTCCTGGCTTTAATGAGTTGTCTGGTCTTGCAGGACCAAAGAGAAGTCCAGCAAGGATAACATTGTGGTGGAGATGAAGAGCGACAACACGGAGGAGGCCGTGCTCCTCGGGGTCAACGGGGAAAAGCAAACTCCCAGCGACCAGGTAGATACCTACTGTTTAGCTGAAAGATGATGCTGTTTTTCTTCTGATCTGTTGACACCATTAACATGTTTACACATCCTCCACCCCACTTCTCTCCCTCCTTTTTTTTGTTCTTCCCTGTGTGTTAATGTCTGTGTTTGCACTCTGGAGTAAAGGGCGGCAAGTACCTGGAACTGCAGAAGTGAGGAGGTGACTGCTCAGCTACTCCTGTTATGCGTTCTCAGGCTCAGACCTATTGATGCCTTTCAAGCTTCCACCACAGCTCCTCATCCCAGAGTTACGTCACGGAAAAGCTCAGTCGTCCGTCAATTAATATCATGATGGATGACCGAGACTCAAATTATTTCAAGCTGCAGCTTTTGCTTACTGTCTTTCTCATCCCAGCATGTTTCTGTTGGAATGCAACTTGAGCTTTAATGGGAAGTGATTTGAGCGCGCCGTGACGTAACTCTGCTAATACATCTTCCACCTTCAAACCCGGGAGGACTGTCCTTAGCCCAAAGTTGTCATTACCATGAGCCTTGTATACTGCTGATTGTCCGTAGATCAATAATTAGAGCACAACAGTGACCAGGGACTGTTTTTATACCCGACTAAGAATCACCTCAGGCAAAGCAATCACTGAAGAGCAGCCTGAAACAGCTCTTTATCAAGTGTACATATTATATCTATGTATATATTTCTTTATTTAAAATAACACCATAGAAAAAAAAATCCCAAAAATAAATGGCCAGATAGTGCTTTATTTTGTTTGGTTGCCATTTATGGAGAGCAAGAAGTGCTTAGTAGTGATGTGCGATACCACTCAATTTCTATAGGGTCCAACACCAAGTAATACCCAGGCTGGTATTGCCGATACAAATACTTTTGACATTTTATTTCTAGTTTAATGTGACCGTCCCCCTCCTGTTTCTGTATTTATGAGGGAAATAAAGAGTAGGCTGTAGGCTTACCAGTTCCAAATAATAGCTGCATAATAAGACATCAAACTACGATCACATTCTTTAATAATAATAAAAATATCCTGGTCAGAACTGCCGCTTCATAACATCATCATATTGTTGTTACTTGATCGAAGTTTGCGGTGTTGCCAAAGTTTTTGACTGTCTTTGCACACACATCACACACAGCGTCATTGCATCATTACCTTCACAGCTAAAATACATCCAGCCATAGTCAGTATTCAATCTCGGGAAATGTAAAGGGCTGCAGCGGCTCACTTCAAAGAAGCTCCGTCACAGAGCCGTAGCGCAAGCATGACTTTGACAGGCGGAAGGAGAAGTAGTTCCTATCAACCGAATATAATTAGACCATCCTGTTGACAATAAGATACTTATGATAAAACACACATTCCCTCCAAATGACGTTTAGATATTGATCCTTTTATGAGTATCGATCAGAGAGCAGGAAACGTTGGTATCAGAAATATCGATTCTTTAGTATCGATCCGCACATCACTAGTGCTTAGGTAGAGGTCTTGTTTTTATATAAAAGATTTTTATGTGTTTCCTGTTGTGCTAAAGTCTGTACACTGAAATCTTTGGGGAAGAAACAACTCTTCCCCCCACAGCCAGTTACAGCCACACCAAAAATGCTGCCTTGTAGGTCATTTAATCACGCATCCTTCATGTTTTTCCTTCTCTGCAGCTAACACTTTAGTTTACACTCGACAGTTTGTGTGTATTAAAAGATATTTATGCGATACAGGCGAATAATCTGTTCAGCATTTGACATAGAAGGGTTAACAATAATTGCAGTTCTCTTCACTTTGTTTCTTTCCTTCAGTCTGGTTTTGCTATTTTGTGTGTTTGATTCTATTACCAACAGCCAAGTTAAAAAAATTACAAATGCCTTAGAAATTCAATCAAAGCCTAGAGAAATATCAGCAAAGGCCATATTTTGTATTGTTAGTTATGTTTATATTTAATGTCCAGTGCACTGATTTCTGTTCTTCATGCAGTTGTGTTTCTCTAATGTGAAACAGTTGTTTTGTTTAATGTGACTGTATGTAAAAGAAACTTTTTTTCTGAAGCTATTTTTATTTGTCTGAGCGGAAGGATGAGGGCAGAACAGATAATTGGTCCATGGTAAATATGGTTCATGGCATGAAGTTGCCCTCATAAGGAAAAGACACGTTTCTGTTCAGTGAATAAATTAATTCATGTGTTGACTGAAACTTGAAATAATCTGATCCGAGAGAGAGAGACAGAATCCCCCTCAGACATGATGACTAGTGACATGGCAACTAAAGTATATGACTACTGACAAGGGCGTAATGACTGAGACTCCACATATGCAAAGTTTGTAGACAATCAACTGTCAGGACGCTCTGTGCTCACGTATGTGCAGGTATCATCCTACCCTGTTTTTTTTCCTGCTGTTTATAAGAACTACCACTGTTAAATGGTTTTGGATGTTTGAAATCTGTAAAATGCCTTGGAGTTGTAAAATTAATGTCACTGATGACGTTCAAATCAATTTACCAACAAATTTATTGTTTGTAGTTTTTGAAAAGCATACCAAATAAAGACTGACTGTTAAAATGAAAATGTGTGTTAAGTTAGACAATTAGCTGCCAATGAAGATGTTTAGGTAGTGAAGTCATTTCCTGGTAGGTTTCACCAGAAAGAGCTACTGTATTATTTTTTTAATTTATTATTTTTATTATTATTATTTAACAGGCCTGTAACTTACCTATCCTGTCATAGTAACATGCAGTCTGTTGGTACACAGAAGGATCTATTAAGTTACATAAGAGTTTTAAAAATGGCTCAGATATGATGCTGATTTGATCCACTACAGTCAAATCATGTTTTGTTTTTTTAATGTAGTTACCAAATGCATTACTGAACTTTCGAGGCTGTTGGCTACAAAATATAAACAGAAATAGCACTGAAGTATTGAACCGGTCTGCAGCCGTCACCACTTGGTAGACTTCTTGACCTGCTCCCTTTTTCTGCAGAATTCTATCGTTTTCTGAATATATACTGAACTGTATTGTTAAGCACCATCTTCAAATCTCCTGAGAGTTAATTTCTAATCCTATTCAGTTTCTCTTTGGCATTAACTTCAATACCAACTTTTCACAGCAGACAATTTGACTTGTCATAGCAGAAAAAGCACAGCTGTGAGTAATAAGCTCTGTTCCATTAAATGTGTGCCCTGGAACCGGTTCACCTAAATGGAATGCAGTCATCATTAATGTTATTAGTAACACCTGTGCTTTTCCTGCTTTGACAAGTCAAAATGTCTGCTGTGAAATGGATCAATACCACAACTCAATGCTCCATTTAAACTTTTGCATAGTTGTAAAATTTCTTTTCAATTGTACATTCTGTGCAAAAATCTCAGTACTTCAAAATGCAAAGTATCTGAAAAGTGTATAATTTTACACCTGTCAGGACTACAGTATGACTAGATGAATTCAATGTTCAGTAAGTGTAGCAGATGATAGAATAATCACAAATGCTTATGTTTAAAACCTTTTTAACTGTAATGAGACACGTAATGGCTTTTACTTATCATTTTATTAACAGCACTGTGCATACTTCCAAAGTGATATGAGCTTTAAAAACCATCAAAAAAGTTAATGAATGCCTTTTACTGACAAGAAGCAACGCGGCTACATGGAACAGCAGCTCCCTCTTCTGGCAGAAAGTTTAAGTACCCCAACGCAGGGACTGAGGGGTAACAGGAGCTGGTAAACAGGTTCCAGCATCTCCGAGTTTGAGCACTGATCTGAGGCCTAGTTAATCTTTCAGGTAAGAAAGACAAACAAAAGGAGGCAGAGACCTCTCACTCCTCACAGATGAGGCCTGATGCGGCTGACGAGGCAAAAAGGACAGAATAATACAAGCCGTAATGCACAATCTCGCCTTCAGGTGCAGGTCAATACCTACAAACTCCCGTCAAAAACACACAATGCCTTCTTCTAAACATGGTGAGGATCTCTAAACATATGGCACTGCTCACAGAATTACTCACATAAGTAAACAAAACCTTTGGAACAAAATACATATACAGGAATGCAAAATGAAATAAAACAGCAATTTTTTTCTTTTCATATGACTAACTCTATACAATTTGCTTTTCTTTAGAGTGACAGTATTGAAGCACAAATTGGTAAACTGTGTGAACAAAAATTCAAAAAAAGGTAGATGATACACGACAATGACATGCTGTCCTCGAAACATCAACGAAACATTGGTACAGTATTGAGGACTGGGGAACTCCACGTCCATTACCTATCATTCAAGAAGTTTCTCAAGGCAACTTGGAAAAGAAGAAAACAAGAACTAGAGGATGGCCAGACAGCGAGGAGATGGCTTCCAGTCAACAGACAGCATTACCCAGAGTAAGCTAGGGCTGATGAGCTATTGACATGATTTACACCCCCCAAAAAAACCCAACCACATTCTTCTTCATATGCTGAGAGAGGTTCAAGTCAATGTACCTAAAAGCTCCTTGCATTTATTTATCTTGTTCATTCATAGTACCTGGAAATTAAGCTGCTGTCTCTAGTCCTGCGAACATTGGAAATAATACAAAAAATGTGCAAGTTATAATGTGACAAAAAAAAAAAGAAAAAGAAGGTAAGAGGCTACTTGTGTGACTTCATTAAGCGGATGCTTTTGGCTACATGTCACCTGGATGAACAGACGGTTGGTGAAATGCTGTCTCTGACAATGAGTCCCCTCTGGTTTTTGACAGCCAGGGTGAACGCCACATGTTTATATAAACATTATTCCTGAGTTAGTTCTTACAGTTGGCCCAAATACTGATTTTAATGTAGACTTGGGGCTGGGCCAGCAAACCCATGAGCCTACTTTTCTAAAAAGCCTCAGAGCCCACTCCCCTTTCAGTAGAGTGAGAAAGGAAATTCATGTGAAAGAGAAGCCTGATTCTATTACAAAATGATGTCATAATGAAAGGAATTTTGTTTGCTTCATTACTGTTGCTATCCAGAGTCTACCTGTTTAGAATCAGACAATATATATATTAAAAAGCTTGAGAGGCTCACAAGCCACTTGTACTTTCAAGTATGCTACATTACGGACTGGAGAAACGGATGATACTGTCACTTTAAAGAAATGGATGACTGTTAAACACAATATTCACAAATGTACATTTAAGGCGTAATTGTTTAGCACTAACAATAGTAGCAGCAGTGAAGCACTTCTGAATGAATTATAATAACATTTATGATCATATTACAATAATATATTACCAAAGTAAAACAATGACAATATTTTTTTGTTTCATAACACTGGGCTGATCTAGAGACAAAAATTCAAACCAGGCAGCCACTGAAATTAGACGAAAACGTGCCACCATGGATCTCACACACGCACACACACACACACACAAGCCTGTCTGGTACTGCAAGGTCGTCGACTTTAGCACGTCCTCTAATAATCTCGCTGCCAGGCTCTACATCTACACTAGGCCCCGTCGTATGAGTTAGAGCAGTAGTACGTTTACAGAGCACAAGTCTAAGTATACTGACTGTAATTCCACATTCATGTTGTACAGGAACAGGGGTTCAATGAAGAGCAGGTCATGAGTAGGTCCGGCAGACACGCGCACACACACTCACATACAGAAACACACTCACATATAGAGAGTGAAACACACTGCCAGACAACAGTTGAGACCTGAAACCATCGTCATGCTACTTTGAAAATTACAACACGACAAAACAA